ATTGGCATCACTGAAACATGGCTGTCTCAGCCAAACTCCCTTGTAGTTCCAGGCTACGACTGTTACCGCCGTGACCGACCCACACTGCCACAGCGGACAACAAGAAGAGCACTGATAGATTTAGGGGATTTGGAGGTGTCGCTCTTCTAGTCCGCTCGGATTTTCCAGGTACAGTTAAGCATCGCACTGATCTACACCTCCCCAAATTTGAGGCCACGTGGGTCGAAATAATAGCTCATACATCGACCTCTTCATCTGCACCTCCTGAGTCTCTCATTACTGGATGCGTTTACAGGCCACCAAACGCGTGTTCCACTGATATTGACAATTTTGTGGGCTGTCTGCAAACAGTCCTTCAGACGACCAGACACACCACTTCCTCTATGCTTATGATGGGTGATTTCAATGCCAAGTGTAGTGACTGGCCCGGCAATATCACACATAGTCCTGTTGAGATGGCAGCTGCTCTCAAAGAGCACTTTGTACGGGTTGGCACACAGGATGATCCTGACTGGCCCGTCCCAGATCTGTCTCATCTCCCTTCTCCGGCCTCGAACCTCTCAAACATTGTCATCTCCTCCGAGGCCGTGATTCGCTATATTATTGAGAAACTCCCCACAGGGAAGTCCCCAGGCTATGACGGTATAAGCAACGAGATTCTGAAGGCCTTGAAACTTCCTATCTCCTATCCTCTCTCTCTCTTATCTTCAATAATTCCCTGTCCAGCGGCGTTTTTCCCTCTGCCTGGAAATATGCTGTGGTTGTGCCCATATACAAGAACAAGGGAAGCAGACATGATCCTGGTAACTATCGCCCAATCTCTCTGCTGAACACCTGCTCCAAGATACTTGAGCGAATCGTCTATGATCGGCTGTACCATCATCTGGCACCTCTGCTCCATGATATGCAATCTGGGTTCCGCCATGGTGACTCTACCTCTCTACATCTAACCAACCTTGTCCAGAGACTGTGCACCCTCCGAGACCGCCGCCATTACCTTGGCCTGTGTTTCTTCGACCTGGCGAAAGCGTTTGACTCAGTTTGGCATAGGGGGTTACCAGCCAAGCTGCATGCTTATGGGGTCACCGGACGCCTGCAGTCGTGGCTCACCTCCTATCTCAACAATAGGACTCAATCAGTCAAGCTTGGTCCAGTCCTCTCAGATTCTATCCCTATTTGCTCTGGTGTACCGCAAGGGTCCACTCCAGGACCGTTACTTTTCCTGGCCTTCGTCAACGACCTCCCTGTCCTCAACCCTGGCGTGTCTCTGTTTGCAGACGACACTTGTATGCTGCGCAGTAGTCCCTCTGTTTCCCGTCTTATATTAGACCTCCAAGTGGGTGTCACGGATATCACCTCGTGGATGGCATTGTGGAAGCTAAAACCTAACGTCGGGAAGACCAAGGTAATGATCATTCCCCCTCTGTCTACTACTCTATACTACCCTCTCCCTCCCCTAGTATTCCATTTCTCCACCACTCCCATAGAATATGTAGATCATCACAGGCATCTTGGTGTCATTTTTGACACTAATCTCTCCTGGACTCACCATGTTGCCCACATATGTAAGAAGACTAGTCAAACCATAGGTATAATATACTCACACCGCGCCCATCTTCCTGACAGCTGTCGTGCTCTTTTCTATAATGCATATATCTTGCCGCATTTTGACTACTGCTGTACTGCCTGGACAAATCTATCTATTGCCCAACAGCAGAAACTGGAAATTCACAATTGTTCCCTCCTGAAGATTCTTTATCATATGCCCAAGTCCCTTTCTAGTGTCGCTCTCTATATGTTATCCTCGACCAGACCTCTCCTAGAAAGACGACGAATCATGATGTGCTGTCTCATCCATCGTATTCGACTTTCCAAAATACCCCGCATCTTAAACCATTTGACTGGTTCCGACGGGATAGCTCCACCAGGAACCAACTCTCCCTTCCTCTAGCCCGCTCTTCTGCATTGCTACACTCCCCCCTTTTCAATGGCTATTTGCATTGGCTTAAGCTGCACCAGGAGACAAAGGGCCTTTCTACTTTAACAGCATTCAGGAACGCCTTGCTTTACCAGTAGACCACAATTTTAGTCCATATTTGCTTCTTTCTTCTTTTATAATAGCAATAAAGAGAACAAATTCTACAGTCATCGCCACACTACAACGAAGTCATGAAAGTTTACCAGAATTAATTTTCTTGTCACATTCATCAGTGGAAAGTCGTGACTGAAGAGTAACCATGCTGAGCAATGATTTTAAAAATGTACATTCAATGATGTGTTACGAGAACAAAATACAGTGCCAAAATAGAATGAGGGAAGTTGAGACAATAGAAGTGAAGTGAGAGCTAAGTGCAACGGCGGGTGAGAAACTAATTATAACGCTAAAACTGTGTAGTGAGACAAACAATCATGCTGTGCACCTACGAAAACAATTTTAACGCAACTACATGTTTCTTCTGCTTACAAAGATCAGGCTTATGCTTTCTTCTTTTCCTTTTCTTTTTGACTTCTTACTCTTTTCCTTGTTAGGCGTGGTTGGCTATAAAAACCCTGCAATCGCCACGCAAAGTGGTCATTGGCTACCCCAGCCATGTATTGCTTGGAATAAAATAAATAAATTCTAGTCTGTAGTGTACACGTCGACAGCAGTCCCACAAGTAATTAGTTTGCTCGACGAGGTACTAATGACTAATGTCTTGTACACTGCTACTTTGAAGCGTTGCAGCGCTGCCTCGGATGGGGGAGCGTTCAGGATGCCAGAGGGTAGAGCATTCCATGTTGTGAGTAGGCCGAACGGGAAGGATCGGTGTAGGATGGCAGGATTTGTTGCGGGGAGGGGCTTTGACAACTGGAAGGCATGGGAGTGTTACATTGATGTTGGTAGCGGGTTCCGGGGCGGGCGAGCCCAGGGGCAGCAGGTGGAAGCATGTCTGTCCGCTGGGCCGGACCGGAAATGTAGTGCAGCTTGAAAAGTTAGCACAGTCCCCAGACTTGCCGACGCACTGATATTGATAAGCTTGGGAGCATGGTTCCAGCGCCAATGCTGCGCATACACCGTTGCTGGATGCGGTCAAGATTCGTGAGGTTGGACCGGGCTGCGCCTTGCCAGACTAGGGGAGCATGTTCCATGGTTGGGCGGATGAAGCCTTTGTATACGCTGAGGCGGCCGTTGCGGTCGAGTACTGGGCACACCTTCCTGAAGAAGCCAAGGCGCTGGCTGGCTCTGACTGCAATCTGGTGGAGATGGCTGCGAACAGCAGTTTGCGGTCGAAGGTCACACCGAGAAGCTTAACATCGGTTTCCTCTCTGATCACGGTGCCATCGAAGCTGAGGGAAGAGGGTGGGAGGGGTGTTGATTGTCTGCTCATCGACATTTCTTGGCACTTTGTCGGCTCAAACTGGACCTTCCATCTCGATCCTCAAGCTTGGAGCTCATCGACAGAGGGTTCCAGTGAGTGGCGGGGACACGTCATTGGCACGGATCAGCCAGTACAGTGTTGTGTCGTCTGCATAAGACGCTAGCTGGCATTCTGGGGAGACACAGGCAGATATGTCGTTGACATAGATAAGGAAGAGCGTAGGTCCAGATGCTGCCTTGCGGCACACCAGCTTGGATTGGGAAGTGCGAGGAGGTCTGACCACCAACAACAGCCCTTATCTTCCTTTCCTGAAGGTAGGAGCGAAGCCAAGACAGAATTGACCCGCCAATGCCAGACATTTCAGCTTTATGCAGTATGCCAGTGTGCGAAACTTTATCGAAAGCTCCAGCTATGTCGACTGCAACAAGTCGAGCGATTCCATTGCGACCCACTATGCCGGACCACTCATGATGGAGGGCAGTGAGGAGGTCGGCAGTTCCAAGTCCACGGCGAAAGCCAAACTGCCTGGGAGATAGGACCATGTGACGTTCTAGGTGATTGACAATTTGCCTGTTGATGATGGTCTCCATAATCTTTGACAAGACACTCAGAAGGGAGACAGGTCGGTAATTTCTCACTGCTGCTTTGGAAGCGCGCTTGTGGATAGGCACGACGTGTGCCGTCTTCCAGGGGTTGGGATGATGCGAGCAGTGGATAGGCACGACGTGTGCCGTCTTCCAGGGATTGCGATGATGCGAGCGGCGTAGGCAGAGGGCAAACAGCTTAGTCAGAGGGGGTGCGAGTTCTTTCGCACATGTATGTGTCAGGTCGTCGAATGGCTCAGTACTCTGTCATTATTATGCTAAGTTGTTGCACTTTCTGACTGTATAATAGTATCTAGACGAGTACAGTGGTGGACAGTTACTCTCGCATCCATTACTTCAGTACATGTATGTCCTTTTCCTGTCTGAATTTGACTTTGTTCTAGAATATATTTTTTGTCGCCTCCGACCTCCGTTGTAACCAAGAGTATTATACTCGTAACCTGATTTACTCTTGCTCGAGAACAGTTTTATTCACAACAGCAATTTGGCCAATCGCGTGAAACCATCAAGTAGTAGTTCAAATGTTAGTACTAATAGCCTGGAGTGTACGTACAGTGGTCCCTCTATAATCCGGCACCATTTGTGCCACGGAAATCTGCTGGATTAGGGAGGGTGCTGGATTAACAAATCTGATTTTCTGCTAGAACATGCATGAAGAGGACATTTTGGCTAATGAAAATTGTGCTGGTTTATCGAGGGTGCTGGATTATAAAGTGCTGGATTAGAGAGGGACGACTGTACCGGTAATACTAATAGTCGCATTACACACTACACTGATCCCAGTCATAATACTAAGTATAATACTCGCACTGTACCTACATGTACATGTACATGTACATGTAGCACTTCGTCGAGAAGAAAGAAGAGAAGGCTACCCAAGCATCTTCACGGATCCCCCCTCCCCCCTCAAACCAACGCTCTATCCATCCACATGCTCGTTGTGTGCCGAGATGTCTGCAACTGGTCAAGGCCCTTGAAGGGGTACACTGCACCTCATCCACAGCATAGCTCATGCTCACAACCTTGTTTTTGCCGTCGCTCTCCATTTCTGTTGGGAAGTGCAGTTTAATTAAATAATTTTGTTACAAACCAAGGCTGTGAAGCAATGACATCAAGCAAGCTAATACAATTGATAAAACTGCCAATTTTTACTCTAGTTTTGACTTCAAAGTATCACAGTGCACATACCTACGGAGGAAGGGGAAACAAAACAAAAATACAACAATAGGTGTGTAGGCACTACATGAGCTGCGCTGGTGAGGTGCGCTGGTGAGGTGCGCTGGTGAGGTGCGCTGGTGAGGTGCGCTGGTGAGGTGCGCTGGTGAGCTGCGCTGGTGAGCTGCGCTGGTGAGGTGCGCTGGTGAGCTGCACTGGTGAGCTGCGCTGGTGAGGTGCAGTGAACTCACCCAACCAAGAGTCTGGGGGTCGGCGCACACAGCAAGCACCATGGGGGTCGGGGGGGGGGGGAGATGACGGGGAGAGAGGGAGAGACCAAGAGAGTGAGTGAGATAGATGACGAGAGAGATGGAGAGAGAGAGAGAGAGAGAGAGAGAGAGAGAGAGAGAGACGGAGAGAAATATGTCCTACAAGCACTTTAAAATGTCCTCATGCAGCTGTGGACAAACAGCACCTAAAATTGCCAACATCGAGACATGGTCAAGGGAACTGAAATAATAATTATGACGGTGAAACAAAAAATCAATTTCTCTTCGCAAAACAAAGCACTATCCGCGCGGCAGCACGTACATGCTGCTATCCGGGTGTGGATGTGTCACGCAGCCACTACCAGCCACTGCCATCAGCAAAGTCGGTTATCAGTGAAATGCTGCAGTGTCAGTATTTTATGTATGCTGTCTGGGCTACTACTAGCACTACACACCACCCATTGGTTGGTCTCAGGTACTGAGCAATAACATAGCGTGACATACCTCTCACAGCATGCCGGGCTGCTGGATACATAGGGTGAGTGTGATTTGTCCTAGACCAGTTTCAAGAATTTGCAGCAATGACTTCAAGTCCACAGTCTACAACACCATAGAACCATGTACAGCTCTGCCCATCAGGCGATGGCATCAGGCGATGGCATCAGGCGATGGCATCAGGCGATGGCATCAGGCGATGGCATCAGACGCCGATGTCAGATATACACAAACTACACATTCCATGGCTGCTAAAGCTGTGGGACCGCCATTTCCGAATCAAATTGACCTGCACCCTGGGACAACTGCTGGTGCTGCTGCTGCAAGTATTGCTCCGATTCATGCTGCGTTGCCAGAATGCCGGGCTCAGGGTGAAGGTTGTCAACTCGCACAATCGTACTTGCAAGGTGATCTTTCTTATTAAACGCATCACTCATCACCTTTGGATCTGGGTGAGGATTCTCAACTCGCACTATGGTAAGCTGCTCCTTTTTACTAAACGCATCACTCATCACCTTGGGCGAACCGGCTCGGCTGAAGTCAGACTGACTTAGTCGTCCTAGCGTACCACTACCACCACCAGCCTGAGTTGCACTACCGGCTGTGGCCAGGTTGGCTTGTCCGGTAACATTGCTGCTGAACTGTGTGCCAGTGGCATGCGATGGATACTGGGATGATGACGATGCCACTCCACTGCCAGTGACTGCTGTACCAGCCAAAGCAGTGGTTGTACTCTGTCCCGGTAAGCAGGTCGTGTCTGGTGATGTAGCAGTTGCAGATGCCATTGCAGCGACAGCGGCAGCAGAAGCTGACGTGACCGTAGCTGTTGTTGTTGGAGATGCCGTGACCGAAGCTGCAGCTGCCGCCGCTGCTGCAGCGCTAGCTGCTGACGCTTGCGCTGCTTGTGCTGCCGCAGAAGCTTTCTTGGCAGCTGCCGAGGATGACTGTGTACGCTTCTTACGCTTACCTGTTCCTGTTGTTGTTGTGGTTGTTGTTGTCGTTGTGGTAGATGTGCTCGGTTTGTCAGTGGATGCTGTCGTCGTCGTGCTGGTGGTGGGAGTGCTGGTGGTGGATATCGGAGAAGATTTCTTATCACTGGCAGAGGATGTGACAGCGGCAGCCAGTATCGGTGCTGCTGCAACGTGAGTTGCTATCAACATACAGTCACACACATGCACACGCGCACACACACACACGCGCACGCGTGCACACGTGCACACACACACACACACACACACACACACAAAAACCGTGTCGTCCACCTCAATTGAAGAAAGCAAAGACCTGTGATTGGGGAAAGAATTCCTAATCTCCAAAGTGAAACAAAGGCAGCATGTTGCACCCTGGGGAAAGCGTTCTTCTATGATATTCTTGGGGAAAGAAATTCCAAACACAGAAAACAGGCCCTTCGAAGAATGCACTGCCAAAAATGTCCAGGCTGAGAAAAATAGGAACAGCACATGCTCAGACCCCACCAGATAAGAGCTTTTCATCAACTTTCTTCCATTTTCTATCTTGCCGCGCCCAGGTTACATGCACTGTGCGTATCACTGGAGCATCCAACTTTGTATAATGGTGACGTAATGTGAAAGTATACGGATACAATGTACATGCAACACAGGAAATACCAGTCATTTGGATACATCATGACGCATCGGAGTACAGTTGACCAAGGCCGGTATGGTGCACATCGTGCAGACACCTCTATACGTATATAATACAAACTCACTTTACCACAAACTCACTTTACGTTTATACGTGGAATATAAACTGAACACAAACCGAGGCGAAGCCGAGGTTTGTGTGATAGTTTATATTCCACGTGTAAACCTAAGAGTAGGTTGTAGTATATTTATACCAGCCTTTATACAAACCTCCATTCAACTCTACCGGCTTTGCTGTGAGCAGTATCAGCCATTAATCATTACCCTTGACAGGGCCTTGTGTTCTACCGAAGAGATAGCCATTCTTCATTACTTGTGCAAGACAGTACACTAGGCTACTGGCACTGCACAGCGGTTATGCATGAGTCAACGGTATCGCTTTACCTAGTGCAGAGCTTCCTCCAAAAAGTGAGGACTTTCGTGACATTCTTTAGGTGACGACGTTGGAGAATACGGTCACCTGCTTGTTTCTATGGTGAATTTAGGCACGCAAATTTGGGCGCGCTTTTTGAAGTTATAAGTAACTTGGGCACCCCATATCTGCCACTTTCTCCAGTTTGGCAGTTGTAGTAACATTGATTTCACTATGTATGCAGATCAGTCTGAAGATCCACCCAAGAAAAGAGTTTTCGGAGCGTCAACGAAGGAGGAGCAGCAAAAACTCATCTCTGACGCTGTTCCACAGAGTACAAGCTCAGCAACCCAGTATTGGGTACAGCTCTTCACTGATTACTGCAAAGATCAAAAGGCTTCGACTACGGACTTCTCCTCAATCCCTATTCCGGAGCTTTCAGACCTAGTTGGCTCTTTCTACATCGATGCGAAGACGCGCCATGGAACTCCTTTCTCAAAGAACAGTCTTCTGGCAGCAAGAAGTGCTATACAGCGTCATCTGTCTTCTATGAGAGAAGTCAACATCTTCAGCGATGAAGCCTTTTCAAGGACCAACAAAATATTGGATGGTGTACTAAAGGCACGCAAGCGCGCAGGCGACGAACTAGCTGTAAAGCACAAAGAACCAGTGTCTGAAGACGATCTCGGAAAGCTGCGCACATATTTCGAGGATGTCGTCGAAACAACCGACGCGATCAAGCTGGCGTTCCACGTTTGGTACCAGATAACTCTCCACTTCTGCCTCAGAGGTGGTGAAATGCAGTCAAAGCTAACGAAACGCGACCTCGTGTTTGAATCTATCGACGGACAAGACGTGCTCAGGCTTGGAACATCGTTTATGTCCAAGAATCACCAAGGGGGCCTGACAGGATCGGACTGGTCGTCAGCAGGAGTAATCAATGATCAAACGCAGTTGTCAGCAATCAAGCGTTACCTTGACAAGCTTCACCCTAACCAAGATCGCTTGTTTCAGCGCTCTGTGAAACCTGGTAAGCTTCCTGCTGATATGTCCTGTTGGTACACACGCTCACCGCTGTCGCACAATCTGTTAGCAGGAATGATGAAGCGATTGTCTGAGCTCGCTGTTCTTTCTGTGGCTTATACTAATCAGTATGTACGTGCCACTTGCATTACCAACATGAAGCGCAGTGGCATTGATGATAGGCGAATTTGCAGTGTGTCAGGCCATCGTAATGTTCAATCCTTATCTGCTTATGATCGCCCCACCACAAAAGATTCTTGCTCTATGGCTGCTGCTGTTGATCTTGGCTCTGTGAAAGCTGTTCCGCCTGCCAGTTGCAAAGAGAATTTGCCACTGCACCCTTCATCCATAGCCACTTCTGTTCAGGCTAGCCCTGTTCAGAATAGTACTTCTACTGTGGCCCACGGGTTCATCTGCTTTGGCTCCCTATCTGAATGCTGCTGTTTCTACATTTCAGAACACATCTATTGTGTTTTACATTCATGCTGACCGTGCTAAGCAAGCTCGCAAAAAGCTAAAGAGAAAGCGCTCTACATCCGATCCTGCTGCCTAATCCTGCTGCTGACAGTGCTGTGGCCCTAAAAAAAAGGCGTTTATACTCAAGTTTATATTCAGGTTTATTCCCGTAGCTATGCAGAAGACGTTACTTCAGTAACGTCTGGCGCTAGCCAGGGTCCACACAGCTTTAATTTGGTGTTTGTTTGTTTGTTTGTGTGTTTGTGTCACGCCTGGCGCTATCCCGTATCTGTCCCGTACCGTACCTTCAAACACAACTGGCCACATACAGCTGGCCGAAATATTCAAATAGGGCTTTCAAACGCAAGATCATAACGTGAAGCAACTTGGAAGAATGAGTATGAATGCAAAGTGTATGGGGGATGCATGTAGGTCGATAGTGCGGGTTCGAATCCCAGGTCATGCCTGAAAAAATAGGAGAATTGAAAAATTTATAACATCCTTATGCTTTTTGCCTCGGTCATCAAGGCGATAGACGGTGTCGTAGTACCCTCGACCGTACCTGTTCCGTACCGCACCATCAAAGACGGCTGGCCACAATGCATATTCAAATAGGGCTATAAAATGCAAGATCATAACGTGAAGCAACTTGGAAGAATTACAGTGCATTTCAAAACTATAGACGCGTAGGGTTTTTGAAATATTTCAAATTTGGCTGGAACTTTTTGAGAATAGTTTTCGGAATATTGCTCAGGATCGCTCCACAATTACTCTCGTATAGTTTCTAAAGGATTGGATAACAGATGCCCAATTTGGAAAAAATTATGCACAAAGTGATCACAGATTTTATGTGGTATAGATGCTGGCAAAACGGTTTTTGCCTAGGTACGCGTCTATAGTTTTGAAATGGACTGTAGTATGTATGCGAAGTGTATCGGGGGATGCATGCAGGGCGATAATGCGGGTTCGAATCCCAGGTTATGTCTTAAAAAAAAAGGAGAAGTTTATAAGAATAAATAAGTAACATCTCTATACTTTTTTTGTCTAGGTCATCAAGGCAAAAAAGCATAGCGTAGGGCCCTGAGCTTCCAAGCTCTCTCGTATTGAAAATATAAACTTGAAATCTCCGTTGAAGTTGAATGAGAGTTTGTATAAAAGAGTGGTATATGTCATATTACGTCATATTAGACGTATACAGCATGAACACATACCACTGTGTTGAGTTGGACCTGGCTTGGTAGTGTCTCCCGACATCTTTGCCCAGTTCTCTAAGCACTCTGCAGTGTGGACATGTAGCACATCGGGACCACGAAATCATTACGATCAACAGTCAGGATATAGATGGACTTGTGCATGGACCAAGAAAGAATGATTCAGTTTGCATTTCACATGTCAGAAATCGGATGACGATACAAAGATTTAGCACACATTTCTGATCTAACCCTGTGCAATAAGAAGTGTTTGTGCGAACCCCAGTCAATGACACCGTTGTGCAGCTGACATGCTAATGAGAACAGTAGCAGTGATAGCAGCGGAGTACTGCTCTACCACTAACACTAACCTAACAGCCCAACACAACCATTCATCTTATAATGGGAGAAGAAATGCACTAAGATGACATGAAATTAACTGCACAAAGCATTGGAGATGAAGATGGAGAAGACACACTTACCTCTTGGTGACAATTTGCTCTCACGGTGCATTGCCATCAGCTCCCTCATCGGCTGTAACACTTGTGATGTCTAAAACAACAGAAACACACGCATGCACACACGTATCCACACACACACACACACACACACACACACACACACACACACACACACACACACACACACACACACACACACACACACACACACACACACACACACACACACACACACACACACACAATGAGCAGTGACTCTTTCAAGCCGCAAGATAACAACAGGGGGTAACAAGAGAAGGAAGTTAGAGATCAGCAATTCCTTCGAAAGGAACTGAGCCTACCAGACATGGCATAATCAAATTTCTTAGCTGTACTCATGGACAGTAAGAATGTATTTGCTATTCACCTCACAGGACATGCTTGATATACCGGCTAGCTGGTGATTGCGCGTGGACCCAAACTAACTGGCTCGTGATTCTGCCTAAACCTAAGCGGCCGAAGTGTCTTTGTAGCTGCACTACATGCGCAGTCAGAAACTCAGTGTATTTCCGTGGTACAAGGGAACAACCGAGAAACAGCTTTTATTAAAACCTTGCTTGAGATACGGTATTGCCCTTGGTTTTGCAAGGTGTAAGCAGGGGGCAATCGGCATCACACTACTGATCATTATTAACTTGTTCCCTGTTCACTTGCCGCTATCACCAGCTATCACCACCATCACTGTATGGGAGAAGAAGTTCAGTCACGGTCGCCTGTGAGCCAGCAAAGGAAATGCACCACCAACTTGAGGCACAAACAAGTTACCCCTACCCCTAAACTATGTCTGCTGCTCCTCAAAAGGTGATAGTTCCGTGATGTGATTAGAGGGCATAAGCACTTCAAGCTGTCTCCATCACTTAACATTCAGGTGCTCTGCACACATGTGACAGACCTAGCCATGCTCCGCACACCCACAGTGCTGCCTACTAGTAGTGCTGTACTGGCCACTGGTACATGATCTTGGCTGTGTGTGAGGCTGTATGTGATTATGACACTAATTATGGGATTCCAGGCACATTCTCTGCCAGCACTCTGCCAACAACTGCCTGCGAAACAACAGAGGTCATTAACAACTGCCTACAAACCAAACAGCGGCCAGGAACACCTAGAACAATGTGTTAAGTCATGCATAGGGACATGTGCCATCTACACAGCCATTGCATCACTGGATCACTGGCAGCAATCCACACTACCACCGGCAATCAGGAAGCTCGCAACAATCAAGACACCTCTGTTTCTGGTGGTACAGCCACAGCGGAAATTGCGGAACAAATCGCCAGGATACACTCTTGTGCTAAGCCACTCAAAGAGCTGCCAAATGTGCAGAAAAGCACTTAGAGATGGTCCATCATGATGGCTGCAGAATTGTAGGGAAATTTCTCTTTCGTCTTATCAAGCAACTCGTCACATAAACTCACTACTTATAGGCACATCATTAGCTACCTGCTTCCTGAATGCTCCATGATATCTGCGTTCAGTTACAAGAAGAGTTCAGCCGGTGGCCATTGACAAACGTCAATGTGCTCCAACTGGAATTTGCACAGGCAATTATGTAGGGTGGTCTCAGAATCTAGATAGTGAGTGACTATATCAGCAAAGGCCATATTATTAGGCTCTAGATAGTGAGCAACTATAGCAGCAGCCAAGGGCAGCAGACTTGGAGGACTAAGTCACGGAATCCACAGCCCTAGTACTCCAGACCAGACGTCCTTAGTCCACAACAGAAGCATGGATCTATTCACAGCCCATCCTGTTTTAGTGCTTGGTGATAGGGTGATCAATGGGAAGAGCTGCAGCACCCTGATGATGTCCTTGAGAACTCTAATCTCAGATGAAAGGTTTACTACACGAATGCTCTATCAGCTATTCAGCCATTCAGCCATAGCATTTATCTGAGTGTACAGTAACAGCACAATGACAGCAAGCAAACCTCAACTTCTCTCAAGACCTGATCTGCATGCACCACTACATGTGTAGCAACACTAGATGTAGAATGACAATGCAAGATGGTTGTGCCCAGCAGCAATGCAGTGCACCACATCACCACAACTAACAACTACCAGCCGCCGAACTAGTGTAGCATAAACTCTGACCACACACTACTGGCTCACTCCTTTGCGGATTCGTTCATGTACTGCTGCCTGAGACGTGCAGCAGCCATGACAAGTACAGCCCGCACAGTGTCAACGTACCTTCAAGAATTTCAAACATTCACGGATTAGACCATTCTCAGTGATCTGTACAAGGTAGAGGTAGAGGGAGAGAGACAGACACACACCGTAGTGACGCAGAAATCAGCTCAGCGACACTATGGTATAGACAGCAATGAATTGGGCCAGGCTAGTGTGTTCTGATCCATCCTTACACACTGAACACACTGCACTTGACACTGTGAAGCTAGACAGTCATAGACTAGTGCAGCTCCAGCATAATTAAAAAGCCATTGTGTTTGTAGGGAGGTGTTAGAAGCACCCATCACCACTCATACACACATCTTACTGGGTAGAGCAGTACTTGATAAAATAACGTTAGAGTGGAATAGCACCTCAATCCACAACATGTCCAACATGGACACCAGCAGTAGACACATCTAGAGCAGCTAGTGTCCCCTGCTACAACTTTGCTTGCCTTAACCCTGAAACACTGGCATATTCACAAAAGCGCCACTACCATCATCATCACCTGTCCAAGTAGTTGTAACAGCACAGCTATTCTGCCTAAACACCATGGCATAGTAAAACTTTACCCAGACTGTACTCATACTTCAAGTAGATCACACAAAGCCGCTATGTGTAAAGCAATGAGGCAGCTTACCCCAGGAGGACCTAAACTGTAATTGCTCTGAGGGCAAGCTGATCAGCAGCCATACAGCTCACACACTCAAACTACCACACTCTACTCTGCAGTTGTATTTTTGTGCGCCATAATGTCATTAGCTGCAAAGTCATGGTTGGAACTCCAGTGCAGAATCAGGACTACAACATCAACAGTATAGTACCAGCTTCATACTGATGATAAGGGAGCAATCATTAATGAGTTTGGCAGAGTACCACAGCCACCACCAGAAGTAGCAGCACAGAGCTACTAACTAAAGAGGAGTGCAAGGTTGTTAATTGAGGCAATGCCAGGGCTTGGCCTGGATCTATCTAGAGCATTTCTGCTACCTGTCAGGTGATACCTATACATGATGCTCTCACTTTATATTGCCTTTGGTATCATTGGTATCAGTAACAGACGCATGTTTACTTGGAGGTTCGTTCCGCTATGAATATGTACAAGGAAGTTAGTACATGATTGAGCAGATCATTCCCATTACTAGACCAGTATCAGCATTGCAGCCTTCAGTCAAGCAGTGATCAGGAGAAACTGCACATCAGCTAGTGTCTATGGTAGTACTGGTAAAGTACCTATCCGGGATCAGGGGGAGGGGGGTGTCAGAATACACACTGATGTCAGTGATGATGATCTGTCTCTGTGAAGTCAGCATCACCTCCAACAAAAGCCTAATGGCATGGGGTGCTTCTTTCTAGCACAAGTGCTAGTAGTGATTGGGCGCATTTTTGGGATTTTCTGCAGTGATTGCTACATGATGAGAGAGGGTGCCCATTGCCAAGATAAAAGCTAGTACTAGTACATGATTGCTGTACAGCACACAGACTATGACTAAAAGTTGGACTGTACTGTAGCACACAGCAGCCATATACAAATTATACTGTAACTTGATTCACTGGCAATGATACCACTCTACCTCCACTTCCCTGCTCCTGGCCAATCTCCAAAGTCATGTAGCTAAAAGAAGCCACAGTAATGCCCAGATCCTTTGAAACCCTGGCCTGATTCCAAGTCTGATGCGCCTTTGATTCAACCATGCAGTTGACACTGACAGAGTGTTGTCAAGAATCAGACTTGAAGGCTGTCAGGGGATCAGGGAAACTGACAGTGTCACTTGCTGTGCTGCACAGGATTGATTGACAGTACTTTCTGACATGTCACATGACTGTAGGCAAGGCAATGACCAATGAAATTGCACCTAGCAGGGCCTAGATGAGGCGATCAAGGCATGCTAGAACTCCATATTTAGTGGAGCGGGCTTTGATTTTACGATCAAAGCCGGCTCCACTATATTTGGCATGTCCACTAGGGCTTTGATTTACCGATCAAGCTCGCTTTTTTTTAGGCGGGAAGGTTGAATCCTGCTACTAGTAAGTGTTTTGCAAGAGTGGTGGTAAGACTGTAGGCGTGGTGGTAAGACTACAAGCGTTTCCGGTGGGCGAGAGAAAATGTCACGTGTTGTACCTAGTTTTGATCTGGACGTCGAGGATGAAGCAATGCAGGGGGAAGTGATGGAGCCTACTGCCAAGAGAAGCCGCTTTGGTTCCGGAACCATGGATGGTGTGCACACGCTGATCGATACGCGAACTCCGGCTAGCACAAAGAGAACTGCCAAGACATGGCTGAAAGTCTTCAACGACTTCTGTTCCAGTAGGAAACTTGGCATTGACCTAAGTGTGGATGCGCCAAAGAAGGTCTGTGAGGCATTGGCGCTGTGTGACGTCAATGCGAGAGGACGAGAGGGTTAGCAATACCAAAGACCGAGCCTGCAAGGTATGCGCACAGCATTGAAGAGAGAAATTTCTTCAATCCGTCCGGAATGGAACATTATCAGCGACAAAGAGTTCAAGGTTGCTAATGACGCCCTGGAAGGAAGGTTGAAGGAAATGAAAAGAAGCGGAGAAAGCAAGACTGCAAAGCATAAAGAGATAATTTCAGACATGGATATGGAGAAGCAGGGAGAGTACTTCAAGAAGGTGCGAACCTCACCAGTGATTCTGAAGGAAAGTGAGTGGTTTGCAGTAACCTACCATTTCGCACTGCGCGGATGTGAAAACCAAGAACTCCTGATGAAGCAGGATCTAGCGTTCAAGGTCGCTGATGATGGCACTGAGCTCATTGAGCTAGCTACTGCTTTCCTGGCAAAAACCACCAAGGTGGTGGCAGTAGAGAAAAGGTGAGCGATGGTAAAATTCAAAACACAGCGCAGGTCACAGCCGTCAAGAAACTGCTCGAGAAGATCAGCCCGAAGTGCGATCGGATCTTTCAGATGGCATGCTGAGGCCAACAAGCGAAAGGCGTCGACGGTGCCTGGTACAACGGTCTCCCTCTGGGCCGGAACACAATTAAGGAGATGATGAAGCGGATTTGAAGCAAAGCGAACTTGTCGAAGACATATACCCACCACTGTGTCCAAGCGACAGCAATTCAGCGTCTGGTTGATGCAGACGTTCCAGAAACGTCGATAATGGGGACAACGGGACACAAACAAGTCCAGTCCCCCTGACTGCTTACGCCACTCGAAAGTTCCGGTGCAAGGAGAGGACATGGAGCCGCCGAAGGAACAGCGCACTCGAGCCCTCCAGTCCCCGTCAAGGCGTGCTGCATGGCCGCCTACTTAGCGGCAACCTGTGGAAAGTCCGGCTGTCCGACAGAATGCGTTCTAAGATGCTGATATCGACGACTTTGCCTCTTCGTGACATCGACAGTTTGTGTTCCAGCCAGCGACCTGACGACAGGCGAATGCAAATGATGAAGGCCATTAATTTGTTACGAGGGACCTTTGGCGACACCTGCACCATCAATCTCCTATTGTGATCGTCGCCGACGCCCGTAGCTCGTAGGTCTAGTGAATACCAGTAACGTCTATCCAAGCAACAGCGTGTACAGTTTCCTGTGTAGCATTAGTAGTAACATTGTAGGTCTACAATACAGTCGTGTACATGACATCTATTGCGATTTTCTTCTTTGTGAGTGGGCCGAAATTATGCGGACTAGCCGAGCCAAAATGAGGCAGACGTCGTATGCCAAGTAGTTATGGTGTCATGTGGGTGCATACCAGAACACCCGTACGTGTGTGTTCGATCAGCCTAATCACAGCCCTTCACGCTTTGCGCGGCGGGCTGTGATTAGGCGATCTCACACTCGTACTCTTTGCTTGATTCCATACTTCTTGTAATCACTAATCAGTGAATTGAAGAGTGTGCAGCAGCAAGGGCCATACAGAGCGCATGCAGAACACGTGGAGCCTCATGGCCATACTAGTACTAGTTTAGAACTAGTACTGCAGGTGGGACCTCGGGACCTGGGGGGAGGGGGGTCCTAACTCACTGCACAAGCAGTTTTGATTCAGTGAAGGACAATCCTTCATGCCTGGATGGAATAAACATAGGGTACGCATCATGAACTCATATATTGACCAGTGTGGAGTGCACACTTTGCCTGCACTATTAATTTTTTGTCTTAAGCTCCTGTGCGCTCCAGACACATTTTATACCATCAAAACTGGGGCACTTTGATGGTTACAGTACTGTCGGGTGCCGAAGAACGTAGCACCAAAGAACGAACAGGCTAGCATTTCACCAAGCACAGCATACCACTATATACGCCGGTGACTCCACTATGCTTAGACCGCTGTACATGAAAATAAGAACAGCCTAGCCTACGAGGCTGACCCCCAGTTCACTGGCATCCGACAGTACAGTACAGCTTTTTGACAAAGGGGTGCACATTCTACTTCAGTGTGTATGAGAGCATCCAGCAAATGTGCACAGGCAGTTCTAGTAAATTGCGACACACACCTTACGTCACCCCAACGTGGCCCAAGGTCGCAAATTCAGTTGACAATTGCTAGTAGAGCTTCGCAATCAGCTTATGATTCACTTCTAAAAGAACATAGCCCTCCCCCCCCCCCCCCCCCCCGCCATCCATCCCAGTCACAGATAGTGCCATCCTACATTGTCTTCAAAAGGAGAGAAGAGCCAGGAACCATGATTATTCAGGTCCCAGCTTTACACAGGACTTACCTATGGGGGGGGGGGGGGGGGGGCATTCACACTACGTAAATGTAGCATGTAGGTTTTGTAGTGATGTAACGAATTATCGATTATTTGAATTTCCTCAATCTCTTGGACCTCAATGAATAATCGATCGGATAAAATCTAGGTCGAAGGTTCCAAAATTCGAATATTCACAGGCGGGCAAAGTCCATGAGCTGCATAAACTGTGTACTGTGCTGCAGACAACGACTAGACTACGTGCGGTAGACCAGGGTAGACTCTACTCGGACTCGAGTCTGAGCGCCTGTGTTGTGTCTTGTTCTTATTTCTTCAAGAACTGCTTGATAATTGTCAATGACAAATTTTCTTGTGGAATAGTAGAATAATCGTTCGTTCGTTTGAGTCATATTCGCTTGTTTATTCGTTCGTAAAATTCATGGTTCGTTACATCACTAACATTGTTCCAAGAGCCGGTCCAATGTTGTGAAATAGGAAAGGAAAAGGGGTTCAAAAGTAAAGTTACTGGTCGTGGACTGCCCCGTTTGAGGGTGCAAACATGAAACTAGGTGTGTTGACAATGAGAACTTTCCTCCTGATGCCCACTACTTCCACGAATCCCCCTCCCCAGTACTGGAACGCTCCAGTAGGCCTTTGCTCACTTACAGGAGATGTGTGAAGTGCTTGACTTTGCATGTGCAAGTATTCGTCAGGATCAAGTATGAGGATATCCCAGTTGCATATCCGAAATCCTGCTGCCGTTGGCACAATGTCAATCTTCCACTCACAATTGCAATCCACCTAGGCAAGAGAGGTAGGCCAGAAGACAACCCACACAAGCACCAAAACACACCCACCCACACACGTACGCACATTCGGATGTACATGACCACGCATACATATGTTTGTAGTTGGTATCCAGGACTGGCTGCTCACTGCTTGCCTATAGCAGTTTACCACATGATAGCAGTCAGATACAGTGAAACCTGTGACTAACGACCACCCCTTGGGCCCAGAGAAAGCGGTCTTCAGTGACAGGTGGTCCTTAGTTAGAGGTTTGCACCGCACCAACATAATGTCAGACCGTCCGTGCCTGGCGAAGTGGTCTTTAGTGCCAGGCTGGTCGCTAGTCACGGTGGTCTTTAGCTACAGGTTTTACTGTGCGTTCAAATAACTTTGGGAGAAATATCGCCCGATGGGTTAATACTGCTTCTATACATGACCCATACCACATCTCAGAACACATGCTGGCTACTAATCCGTAGTCGCTTACCTTTGCATTAGGTGTGTTGGTTGTAATGCTGATCGAGGCTTGCTTGCAGCACACCTCCACGTGTGTCTCATGACTCCTTTCCACACTGTCCAGACCCAGGAACTGCACGCAGCGCACCTTGGGCTTGATGAAAATGCTCACGAAGAAATGAGCTAACACGGAGTAAGTAACGTCTGCAACAAAATGACAGAAAGTAAACAGTATGGAAGCTGGTTGATAGGCAGGGGTGTACCCAGGGGGGGGGGGGGGGGTGCAGACGACCCCCCCCCCCCCTCCAGATTCTCATCTCGCACTGCACGTGCATATGCATAGAGTACCGATATCGTGATATCTACGCGCCGCACGGTTACATGCATGCCGATGTAACCCCCCTCTGAAGAACCCTGTCTAGTACACCCCTGATAGGTGTCATAGCCTGGTCAAGAGTCTCCAAGAGGTATTTGTAACCCACAGAGTGGAATATCTCTCCCATGCACCTTACACACAAGACGTGACTTTCTGTATGAAGTTGAATGCACCGAAAGTAAAGCTGTATGATAAGAGTGAACAAGATTGAGACATTACGAGATAGTGTGGGGAGCAAACAGCTTCCCTCCGGCTAAGAAATACAGTAGATCTCCCCCTGTCCAGGCATGCTGGAACTGTGCACTGGCCGTAACTAGAAATTGCCTAATCATATGCCCAGTTTGGAGCCATCAGTTGCCTGATGATCGCGACTACGTGAAACTGGTGCCAGTGCGGCTGTGGCACCCCAGTCGGAGTCCAGTCACAGTCAGAAGTGCCTGGGTGCTGTGGCAACAACATCTCCAGTGAACCTGCGCCGCATCTACGTGAATGTGTCAGCAGTGGCAACCAACACTGTTAGCAGGCACTCTGCTGCCATTGACTCCTGCTCCACCAGGTCACTTGTAAGCAGCAGTGTTGTGGCCAGCAAAGGACTGGCAGTGGAGCCGCATGAAGAACCCATTACTGCCATTGATGGAGAGGCCTTGCCAGTGGTGGGATCTGTGGTGATGACGATTTCTCGCCAAGACGCCCATGTCCAGCTGCCAGAGACCGAGGCCGAGTTTCTGGTCATTGATGACCATGCGGTGGTCAGCTCAGATCTGCTGATTGGCCTGGATGTGATATCTAGCCTGGTTGGCGTCACGTTAACATACGACAGCGAAGATCATGGCCTGTCGAGTGCCAAGTTCGGTCCCCAATGTTCCGATGTGCCAAGCGATGTAGTGGGTGCAGTGGGTGAGGAGAATAGCAGTAAACTGCTCAGGCATGATTGTTACTGGTGTCGAGAATGGCCGGGAAGTGTGGCTGAAAGCCGATGATGGTGAGGCACACTTCGACCCAAGTCAAGGGTGTTGGGTCGTGTCATGGAAGTGACTCGAAGGAGTGCCTCCAGCATCTTCCATCGGACCCGGCCTGGAGAGTATTTCAGACGTCGTCTAACGACTGAACAAGAAGCGAAGTTCTGCGAGGAGGTGGACCTGTGGATACGAGAAGGCTGGCTTGTGCCGAATGATACTGCCAAGCACGGTGAGCCCGCGTGTGTCCAGTCGCTCCTGGCTCAGGTCCAGGAACACAAAGTGTCGACACCGGTTAGGCCCTGCTTGGACTATCGGCAGCTGAACAGCCACCTGGTATCCCATCCCGGCACCGACTCTCCGGCATATGAGGAGAAGATCCGTGAGTGGCGTCGCCGGAGCACCGATAGCCACGTAGTAGATGTGCGCAAGGCCTACCTCAATGTGAAGATTCACCCAAGTCTGCAGCGCTTTCAGACCGTAGTGTGGAAAGGAAACCGGTTCGTCATGGAGCGCATGGGTTTCGGCCTCTCCATTGCGCCGAAGATGATGGACCTCATCATCAAGTGGGTACATGGGAAGTTTGCCGATGCTGACAATTACAGCGACGACATTGTCACCCCACGAGACCAGTCGCCAGCAGTCGTCAGTCGCCTGGCAGAGTACGGCTTGCCAACAAAGCCAGTCGTCCAGTTCAAGGATGCGAGCCTCCTGGGGCTCCAGCTGGAGCCTCGGCCCGGTGGCAGGTTTGACTGGCGTCGTCGGGAGGGTGTGGATTTGTCTGTGACCGCCAACGCTACGCGTTGACACGTGTTTCAGTGGTGCGGCAGGTTAACGAGCCACTATCCAGTGTGTTCGTGGCTACGACCGGTAGCCAGCTGGCTGAAACGTCTGGCATGTGAGACCGCCAGCTGGGATGACTGCATACCAGCCGAACTTCAAGCGCCATGTTACGACGTGTCTGTCCGTGTGCAAAGTGAGGACCCTGTGCGTGGCATTTGGGACGTCGGTCGGGATGGTCAGTGGCGGGTGTGGTGCGATGCATCGGACATCGCATACGGTGCTGTCCTGGAAGTTGAGGGCGCCGTTGTGGAGGACAAGAGCTGGCTGCGGGCCAAGAACGACAAGCGGCACATCAACGTTGCAGAGCTCGATGCTGCTATCAAGGCGCTCTCTCTCTAGCAGTTCAGTGGAGAGCGAAGAGAGTGACGCTAATCACGACTCCAAGACCGTAGTGGGATGGTTAACAGCGGTGCTGGGCAACATCCGACGAGTGAAGGTCGGTGGGCTGTATGAAGTTCTGGTGCTCCGTCGCCTCGACATCATCGACGACCTAGTCAAGACAACCGAGCTGTCCGTGGAAGTCCAATGGGTGCCATCGTCTGAGAACCTCGCCGACAAGTTGACACGCGTCCCGGCCAAGTTGGAGCGCTACTGGAGAAGGACATGTTGTAAAATGATGTGTTGTTTTTCTGTGTGATGGCATTCCCCAAACTGTCTCGTCTAGTCGCGTGCATGTGTGATATGAGCATGCGCGATTTTGTAGTCGAGAGTCCTTTTGTCAGTCTTCTTGTTCGTCCCTTGGAGTGCTGTCTCCATTTCCGTCTTGTCAATATAAATAATGTAATACAAACCAGTCTTGTCCTTTGTGTCCTGCGTCCCGGGGAATGGAATGGCTGTAATTCCGTAACAGACAGAAGCTAGTAGCAGCCAGATGTGACGGCAGTCGCATCCTCAGATCCCATTCTGAAGATGAACGACATCGCTGCTGCTCAGCAACGGGACAGCATCATTAGTACAGTGATCAAGCAGCAAGTCGCAGGTGAGAGAGTTGATGCACCAGAGTATGTGAAGGTCAAGGACCAGCTAGCTGTGGTCGACGGCGTGTTGATGCGCAGTGTGAAGCTACCGATGGGTCAGGTATCTAATGTACCAGTGATCCCTCCTGTTCTGGAAATTGCCAGCATCAAGATGGCTCATCGGCAGACGGGTCACTCAGGCTGGGAGGGAACGTGGAGATTTCTACGAGGCAGAGTTTATTTCCCCGGCATGGCGGCAAAGTGTCAGGAGTTTGTCCTTTAAAAATGTTCTTCCTGTGCGGCGGCCAATCCAAGACGTGGTGAGCGCGTTCCCCGACACGACCAGGAGTGCCGTCTGGTCCGTGGAACACATGTTAGCTGCTCCCGGCTTATAAAGTCCCCTCACACCAAAACACAAGGGTTTTATAGTATTGAATTATGCAAGTACAAGAGTGTAGACAAGAAGGAGAACAGGACAACGACAACTCAAGACTAGAGGCATCCTCAGTCTCAGGGAGCGGTCGAGAGAGTAAACCGCACTATCCTCAGTGTCATCCGGAAGACCCTGGGGGAGACAGATGATTGGGAGTCAGCGCTAGATTGCCTACTGTTCCACTACCGCATCCGTCCACACTCCGTGACCAAGATTTCGCCGATGGCTGCAATGACCGGCTGGGAGCCAAGGAACCTACTGGTGGAGAGTAGCAACGAGACTCTGCTGTCTGAGAGTGAGTGGGTGGATCGACAGAAAAGACAAGCTGCTATCACTCGAGACTACCTGGAGGAAGAACTCCAAAAAGAATTTCAGATTAGGCGAGTTTTACCGTACCAGTACATGCAGTTTTCAATATTGTCATATGGTGCCTGGGTGGCCATCCAAATGTCCAGGGTAACATAAAAAGGACATTGCTATTATGTATTCTTGCCATACCGAAACGGGTTTGTGAGGAGCTTGTTAGCGCGTTAGCACACAATGTAAGAAAGTGGTCAAGGTGCAACGGTGTGACATATTCAGCGTGCAACATTCTCGCCAGAAAGACAGATCTTACTGTACGCGGGGGCAGGAAAACGGGCTAGTGTTACGCTGATTGATGCTGTTGGGTCAAAGAACCGGGAAACCATTGCGTGAAAATACTGAATACCGCTATCCTGAAATTCAAATGCACACATGCATACACAAGCGCACGCGCACACACACACACGCACACATGCTGGATGAATAACTTTTCGTCTTCCCAAGTACCTTACCCAAATGTTCCCGCCTACAGTTCACTTTCTCCACAACATTTAGCTCTTCGTAGACACGCCTTGGTCCCGAGAGCAAATGGTAAGCATAGTATGCTGACAGGTGGTGATCACGGTTCGCATGATCCTGATCTGCAAGGTTTCCGGGGTCCTTGTACAGGATATGGTATGGCACCACCTGGAAATGTACCCCCCCCCCCCCCCCCAATGGCTGGTATGAACGCATGCAGGGGGGGGGGGGGGTTGAGCCTCAAAGATACGATTCGTATTTTCGGAGATCTGGGTAGAAGCCACACCTACTGGTGCAGAGCATTGTCTGCTGCATGAATGAAGTGGTGTGTGATGGAGAATGGGATCTCCCCCACCCCCACCCACCCCTCACAGAAGTCCTGTCCGATGGTGTAATGCGGGGTTGCCTTTGGGCCGATGTGTTCCTGCTCAGCGCAGCGTAGTCAGCCATCAGGGTCACATGGATGGGAAGGCAGGTTGTGTTCCTCCGTTTTTCAATCTTGTAATTCAGCATGCGCATGGTGCAATTCACAGCCGGTCTCACTATCTCTTGGTGCCGCAGGAAAACAGCGTGCATCCAGCAGTTTGTAGTGGACCAACAAATCTCAGCAAATAGCGGTATCATAGTCGTAGCAATCTAGTGTGAAGATGGGGAAACGCACAAACGTTCTCCATCAGAATTAGTCTCTATCAACCACACTCTACAGGCTTACGTTTCGACAGGAGAAAGCAGCCAGCCATCGATTAAGATCAGCAAGGAGCGTGGCAGCACTGGACATTGGTGGAAGAGGTGATGAATTGCTGTACCACATCTGTTGCTGTTGTTGTTGCTGCTGCTGGTGGTGGTGGTGGTGGTGGTTCTGGTGGGGATGATTGGGCGGTGGTGCCACGACTGCTGCAGGACTTGCGTTGCGCTTCAAACCAGAGCTGGGAGGCGCCATTTTATCATTCTTGGCGTTGTGTCGACCGCTCACGGCACTCATTCTCGCTTCCCTCTCTCTCTCTCTCTCTTGGCACCGCTCAGCAGTGGTAGCTACGACTAGTCTACAACGCTTACTCTTTCAGCACGACTTGTGTTCGCTTGATGGCTGAATACGAACAGCTAGTTACCACATGTACTTGTAGTGAAGTAGAAGCGATTTCTAGCATGCAGATTATGTTTCGGTTGGGATCAACAAACGATACTAGTTGCACGGTAACGGGTACGCATTCAACTCCTTCTAATGAAAGAGACTAGCAGCTCTCTACTATGCTACGTAGGTGAACGAATATTGTGCAAGACAGAAAGGGGCGAAGGAGTCTGAAACAAAGCTATAAAAAAAAACAGTGGAAACTGAGTGAAGATGGAACTACATGTACAATTATTTTTTGTGGCAAAATGTGTAATATCTTACTTATTTTCTTCACGTGCGTGTACGTGTGACCAAGTATTTGTGCCATAATGTAGTCTGCGCGCCAATCGATCTCGCGTGTAGCTTTGCATCATTCATGACTACTAAAGTAGTACAGTCATAATATTATTATTAGTAACTAGTAACAGTACTTGACACAACGTTTACAGCAGAATGTGAGAAGACCATTCAATGGTATGGCACTATGGGCAGGTAAAGAACTCAACGCATTCAAATGTAGCAGTAACAGAGTACACTGTTGTTACTAGTACTACCGGTATAGTACTAGTAGTACTAGTAGTATTACTATTAGTTACTTCAGGACTTGCTGCTAGCTATGACAATGACTAGTAGTAGTACAACAAAAATTAATAGTCATTTCTGCCAATATTGCAAACGATGATATTATTATTATTATTATTTATTAAATTTTTAATAGGGCATTCCCGATATACAGTGTTCCTGGCTCCCCCTCCCCCCTCCCCCCCCCCCCCCCCTTCTGGCGACCAGACGTTGTGTACTAGTACTAGTAGAAGCTTCCCTGCTTTATTGAAAATCCATGATAATGATTACATGTATGTGATCGGAAAGATGATTGAAGAAAAATCCAAAGTCAACTCAGGCAATTATTAGCAGTCAGTCACTACTATCAAAGCAGATCATTATTCGCAATAGCGCAACTTGGAAAGCCGGCAAAAATTCCAGACCATCCCTACTTGTAAAGTAGCTCCCTGCTGGTGTTTCGAACCGTAATGCTTTCGGTGGGGGGGGGGGGGAGGGAGGAGTGGAATCACCGTTCGTCAAAGGCTCTTGCATGCACATGCATGTGGCGGCTCATCGCCTTCACTAGACACTACGACACTAGCTACCAAGTAGATCTACCATACATTACCAACGCATCTTCGCATCTTACTCTTACTACTCTAGTATTACTAGTCTCAGTCTTAGCACGCCTTGCATAACAGCATTCTTGACACAGATCACGCTCTCCTCTCCCACACGTCATCATGGTCATTGCTTTCGCAAATAATAATTATGCATTCCGAGAGTGAGCTTTCTACATAAACCATGATAACGTCATAAGTCATTGTATGTTTCAACTACTGTAGTACATGTACACAACAGAACAACAAGGACAATCAAGGCTTGTTTGCTGCTACATGTACTATGTTTCAACTAAATACTTTGGACTCCATTCCTCTGCATACATTGTAGCTGTCACCGGCGACCCACCGCCGGACCCGGAGAAGTTCTTCACCACCTCATGAATATTATAAGTAATATAACAAATAAATTTTATGTTCCAGCTGTGCTAGCGATGCCTTAGTCCTTACTTAGGAAGTGTAGCCATTCACCACCGTTCATCCGGCCGCAGCTAGCACCAAGCCCAGTCCGGGAGCTGCAACGTCAACAAGCGAGCTTGGACCACCCCAAGAACCACTTGGGCAGGGGCAGGAAAACCAAGAAGTGGCAGCGCTACCAACACCAGCAAAACAGCAACAAGAAGGCAGTGTGAACAAGGAGGCACAGGATCATGTCCCTGATGCACCACAACCTTGGACGTACGCCAATGCGTTGGGAGTTCACACTCCCTGCACGAGTGCTCGAACTGAGGCGACTGCCCCCACATCTTCATCCACACCCGCGTTCCCGATGAGTAGAGGCAAAGCTGGTCACCCATCACCCGATGACCAAGGCTTCAAGCTGGCTCGTGGGAAACACACGTTCCCAGCGCGTGTTATTACTCCTGCTACAAAGCAGGGAGTCCAGGTGACTGAGAGTGAGGAGAGCAAAGCCATTCGTCAACTCGTCACAAGGCTTCGGATGAGTATGCCACAGCGAAAGCTCGGGAGCAGGCGAAGGGACAGCTTGTAAGTTGTTAGAGGTTTTAACTTTATTCCGCATTTGTCTGTATCTATCTGCATCAACATTTTAGCCCCTACTATGACTCTCCCTCTCAATCCTCATGCACCACCTTTTATACCCCATGCATCTACGCCGACTCAGTCTGGCATAAAAATAGCCACGCTCAATGCATGTAGCTTTTAAAAGATACAAACTGCCAGAGATTGCAAGCCTCATCCGCACGCGTCAGTACGACATCTTGGGTCTATCAGAGACATGGCTAGATCCCGAGATTACAGACGGAGAGCTCAGTATTGACGGGTACAATCTGATTCGAAAAGACCGCACTCAACGCTTGGGTGGCGGAGTCTGCTTCTACTACCGTCAAGATCTCCCAGTTCGATCCCGCCCAGATCTGCATTCTGAATCTACAGAAACAGTCTGGGTAGAAATAAACGGAAAACCAGGTCGGCACCTGGTTGGTTGCGTGTACCGGCCACCGGGGGAGCCAGTGTCTTACTGGGCAGATTTGGAAGCAGATATTGTACGAGCAGCTGTGCAGTCTTCTTCCGTGACCCTAGTTGGAGACTTTAATGTAAATATGGACCCAGCCCATCCGGCACCCCAGCACAAACACCTCACCGACCTCTGTGCTGCGTTTGGCCTCCAGAACATCGTCATGCAGCCGACCCGTGAAACTCCACAGTGCCCTGAAGGCACGATGATTGATCTCATATTGACCAACCCGGCGCTAGTGTCCCTAGCAACGGTTGTGCCCACTGATATTAGTGACCACAGCGCTGTGGAAGCCTTTATTCAGCTTGCCGTTGACGTTCCACCCGCGTCATCCACGACGTCGCAGCTGACCAGGAATATACGTGGCGTTGACATTAACTCTTTTCGGCAAGATATCCTTGAGGCTTCTCTACATGATTTTTCGGATCACAATGATGTAAATCACATGTGGAAAGAGTGGCACACTAAGTTCCTGTACGTTTTGGACAAGCATGCCCCGCTGCACAACTCTAAGCCTTCCCGGAGGGCGATACCTCCCTGGTCTGACAGAGAGCTGCACCAGCTCGAACAGCGTAAACGGCGGCTGCACAGCCGTTGGCGGAAGGATAGGACAAACGGCACACTGTATGCAGAGTTTAAACAAGCACGTAGCACTGCTCGGAACGCGTATCGGCGCAAGCGAAACGAGTACTTCTCCCGTCAGTGCGAAGAAAATGTGGCCAACCCTAGGAAGTCTTGGGCCATTCTAAATGCTGTCAGTGGGCGTTCACGTCGCCGCCAAGATCCTAGTTGTAGCATCAGCGAGGTGGCCGACACGTTCCACTCCATTGTCACCGATCCCAACCGTCCTGAACAACTCTGTACCCCGCACGGTCCCGCTGGACCCGTCTCCTTGACCGAACTTGATCCTGTGACTCCTGCTGACGTCCGACGTCTCCTTGAGAAGTTGGATGCGCGGAAAGCCACAGGTAGTGACGGCATACCGGGCTCTCTGCTACAGCAGTGTGCTGACTTGCTTTCATATTCTTTTGCTGTGCTGTTCTGCACCTCGCTGAGGACTGGAACCATTCCATCCGCATTTAAATTGGCGTCTGTCGTGCCACTGTACAAGGCCGGTGACCCATCAGTCCCCACCAACTATAGACCTGTATCCCTTCTCCCAATAGTGTCCAAGTTGCTGGAGAGGGTAGTGCAACACCAGTTAGTTCGTCATTTGGACTTGACCCAGGCATTACCCGAAACACAATTTGCCTTCCCCAAGAAATGTTCCACGGAAGACGCCCTCTGTGTGCTGACTGATAATCTGCAGAAGGCGAGAGACAGTGGCAAGACCACAGGGCTGTGCCTATTAGACATGTCGAAGGCTTTTGATAAAGTGCACCACGACAAGTTAATTCAAGACCTCCTTGCGGTTGGAATTTCTGGAAAAGCCCTTAGTTGGTTCGTCGACTACTTGTCCGGCCGCAAGCAGCAGATCCTCATCTCGCCTTCAACCAGCCCTGCTCTGGCTTGCACCTGCGGAGTACCCCAAGGCTCTGTTCTCGGCCCTGTCCTCTTGAGTATATACACACGCGATGTCCCTTTGGTTTCCTCGCCTGTGCCAAGTGTACAATTTGCAGATGACATAGCCCTGTACGACTCCCAGGCCTCAGCGGCGGAAGCGTCCAGAACCCTCACCACAGCGGCAACTGCTCTGGCCGGTTGGCTGAAGTCCCGAGGCCTCATCTTGAACGCCACCAAGAGCCAGGTTCTGACTATCTCTCCCCAGCAGCATGTACAGGAAGTAACAGTCAAAAGCGGCGACTGTCTCCTCCCCTCAGCGTCTTCTGCGCGCTACCTCGGCGTTCACCTTGACAATCGCCTAGATTGGGACACCCATGTAAACTATGTGGTCACCAAGGTTGCCAAGAAAATTGGCGCCTTGTGGCGGGCACGCCGAAGCCTATCAAGACGCTCTCGTCAGGTGTATGTGAAGGCGGTCATAATGCCCGACCTGCTTTATGGCTCCTGCTGTTTCTCAGCCGCAATGCGAGAGGGTCAACTGAAACGACTGCAAACCACGCAAAACAGAGCCATCCGCTGTATCGATGGGAACCCGCCCCGGACAGCCATGCAGCCGCTGCTCACTGCTCACTCCCTGTACCGTGTCAGCGAGCTCTACAGGCAGAAAATATTGATCACCATCTGGCGGTGCATCCACGCCCGCACCAGCCCTGTGCTCGCCCAGCTTCTGACCCCGGCACAAAGCACCCCTACCCGCCATCAGCAGTCAAATGGCCTACTAACTTTTAGCCAGGCAAACCGTAGCCGCCGCGGTCAGCGGAGATTTTCTGTTGCTGGTGCTCTGCTGTGGAACGCTCTCCCTGGTGAGGTCCGCACAATTACCCGGCTACCTGAGTTTAAGCATGCATGTGTACCATACGCCTGTAGGGAGTAGTTCGAGTTGCTGCTGATCGGTCTGCTCTCCCTCCCCGTGCAGTTCAGTAACCCGCACGTAGTATCACAGATACATCGTATTCTCTCTCTCCCCCCGTTTACCCGCAGTTATTAGTATCCTATTCTCTTACTATGTGCTTCCATAGCTTTTACTATGTTCTTCCA